TGCAATAAAAATAATATTACTATTTTATCTTAGAAATTACAAAATTAATTATCAACACAAAAAAATTATGGTTATTTATAAACACAAAAAATTTATATAAATATTATAATAACGTGTTTTCAAGTAATCAATATTAGGATAATTATTTAGTTCAATGAAATTTATATAAATATTTTTTTTTTAGTATCTATTGACGCAACAAATTTAATAATAATAATAATTATATGCAAACATCAATTAAAAATTGAAAATAATTTTATATAATTATTACAATAATTACTAAATATAATGTTTTTTATTATATTTCTAATAATTATAAGTTAATATTAATGGTTTTTATATTGATTATATTGATATCAAACAATTTTTATATTTTGAAATTATTAGCTCAAAAATATCATTTATTACTTAATACAAATTTTAAAAATTAAAATTTTTTTAATAAATCATATATATTTAATTATAAATTAACAATGCATTCAAAAAATAAATAAATAAAATTGTTTATTTTTATTATTAAAAAAAATCTAATTAAAAAATTATATATATATATATATTTAATTAATTAAAATAATTATCTAATTTTTTAATTAATAATATAATTATATATATATATATATATATATATATTTTAATGAAATTAAATAATTTTATATATATACCAGTACCTGTATCTGTTATTGTTTTAATTTAGAAAAATATATTTTATATTAATAAATTAATTTATGTAAATATTTTTTGTTTTCATATTTTCTATCAATATTATAATATTAACAATTATTGTTACAAGCCAAATATTCTAACAAATAATAGATATATGTTAAATGTACCCAGGGCAATTTGAAAATTATTCATCGGAAATAAATTCAAACAATAAAAAATCCGATCACTGGTAAAATAATATATTTTTTATTATTTTATAAGTTTATATTACAACTGTATTACAATATATTTATATAAAAAAAATTAAAAAAAATTACTAATAATATTATTTTTTTAATAATAATTTTTCAATCATTTAAGTAAAATTAGAAAAATTAGACATTTATATAAAATATTTTTTCTATATAAAATAAACAATTGGAAAAAAATAGAAATAAATTTTTATAACAAACTCACAATGATAAAAAAAATAATTAATAAAAAAATAAAAAAATTAAAATTATAAAATTATAAAATTATAAAATTATAAAATTATAAAATTATAAAATTATAAAATTATAAAATTATAAAATTATAAAATTATAAAATTATAAAATTATAAAATTATAAAATTATAAAATTATAAAATTATAAAATTATAAAATTATAAAATTATAAAATTATAAAATTATAAAATTATAAAATTATAAAATTATAAAATTATAAAATTATAAAATTATAAAATTATAAAATTATAAAATTATAAAATTATAAAATTATAAAATTATAATTTTATCAATTATTACAAACCAAAAATTCTAACAAATAATAAATAAATATTAAATGTACCAAGGGCAATTTGAAAATTATTCCATGCATTCATCGGAAATAAATTCAAACAATAAAATCCGATCTCAGGTCCCGCGAGTTTCTCGCAAAATACTAACAATTTGTATCGGACTGTCAACGGTATTGTCAACACTTGTCGATTACGGCTTCTGGCCATCAATGTATTCAGTCGACCCCGGGATCCATGAGCTGCATATATAATCTGGGCAAACATTACGGATATAATTGTTGGCAATAGATTAACCACCAGTACTAATATGGCCAACAATAGCCGTACATATAGATTGATTTTATTATAATGTATACCATAGATGATCAGTACAATCGATGAATAGGTTAGTGTATAGCATATGAGTATCAATCGTCGGGCGTATAGATTTAATGAATGACAAAACTGGGTTACATACTGGTGCTCATCAATTAGATAGAGTAGACGTTTGGTTGACCCGAATAAACTACGGGAGCGTAGTTGACGATTAATTTGACGAAATTTCAATAGGAAATATTCAAGGAAAATTATGATAAAAATTGCTAAATTAATACCCATTACCAATACATAGTAGGAAAATATGGGAAATGTTAGATTCCAGAATAACCATGCTACTACAATTAGTATTTTAGAAAAATTAGCTAGCTCATTCCAATAAATATACATGGTTAACGGTAAATGTACTAGCAAACTTAACATTAGGATTACCATGGTAATTAATTTCGGTGAAAATAATAGCCTAGTTAATAGGTTCATCAATTGACAATATTTACCTTGGTCATGTAAGGGATCTAGTGGATATTTACTTAGTGAATATTTTACCAAGTATATATAGTGCCATAGTTTACTAAATGGTTGACAATAATAATCTTGATAAGTTATTAGCAAATGTACCCCGAATAACATTAGCCAAAACATTGTGAATATACTAGCTAATATTTGACCATTGCCAAACTGATAGGTAAAATCGGATACCAGTGCCAGCACCTGGCGATTATCGGTTAGTATAGCCATCAGAAATCTTAGACATACTAATATAGTCAACAATTGATACATTAGGATAGCCAACAATCGTCTACTATTGACTAATAATACTAGTCCTCCCCGCCTGTAGTGATGATTATTATGTAAATCATTGACTCTATTGTATTGTTCATCAATTGTTTCATAAATAGTTAGATAATTGATTGACATATAGTTTTCAATGCGCTGGAAAATTGTCAAAATATCTGGATATTTAATTAATCGGGTTTTTATTGTATCGAAACTGTTGTTAAGTTTATTAAACATTTTGTTTGTTTTTTAGTTAATTAAAAATAAAATTAAATATATTTATAAAACTTAAATTAAATAAAAAACTAATTAATTAAATATAATATATTGATATATTTACTATTAAAAATAAATACAAAATAGTAAATATTTATTTTATGCATTTATTATAATTTAAATGCTAAATAAATAAATGAAAAACTTAAACTTAAAAAAAACTACAAAAATTTCTTATATTTCTAATTTACTATTAAGTTACTAAAAAATATAATATAAAAAATAATTATAATTAATCTAATTTTTATAATGACATAAATTTACAAAAATAGTCATTTATATATATATACAGTAAATATAATCTAAATAAAATAATAAATGAATAAAAAAATTTTTTTTGGATATAATTTATATTAACATTAATTTTATTTTATATATTTATAATAATTATTAATGTTAATATAAATTATAGCTATTAATAAAAAAAACTAAGTCAATTAATTTTATTTATTATATATTATATATTAATATTAATAATATTATAAAAAAAAATTTAAAAAATAGAGAAATAAATAAATAAATAAATATAATTAAAATTTACACTAATGTTGCTAAAGTTAAAAACAGTAGTTGTGTTCTAATAAATAAACAAATAATAATTATTATTATAAATTATTATTATTATTATTATTATTATTATTATTATTATTATTATTATTATTATTATTATTATTATTATTATTATTGTATTTTTTGTAGCTATTATCTAAATAATCTTTACATAATTAACTATACTGCATTTAATAACTAGTAATTGATGATTATTTTAATTATTTATTATATATAGTAATTATCTAAATGTAAATTAACTATTAGTTTATAAAATAATTTTGTTGTTTATTTTTTTAAAAAAATATATACCTGGAAATTTTTATATAAAAATATCAAATTATAAATAAAATATTACACAATACTTAGTATATTATAATTTATTTTAATCATCAATAATAAAATATTGTTCATAAATTTTATAATAATAATAATGATAATAATTTAAACTAAATTTATTTAATCATTAATAAATATTATTATCATTTATACTGTATATGTTGTTGTATTGTATTAATATAAAATATAATAAATTAAATAGTTTTTTTATATATAATTTTTTCGATTTAATATTTTATTTAGACTATATTATATATATAAATGACTATTTTGTAATTTTATGTCATTATATAAAATAAAATACTAATTCAAGTTAGATTAATTATAACTAATATATATATATATTTTTAGAAATTTATTAAATTATTAAAATATAATAAAATTTACATTTTTTAAAAAAAGCAAATTTCATTTATAAATATTACTATATTTTAGAATAATAATTACAAATAAATATTTATTATACTAATAATTTTAGTATTTATTTTTTTAATAGTAAATAAATCAATAAATATATATATAAATATATATTACATATAATTTAATTATTTTTTGTTATATTTAATTATATTTTTTCGAAAAAAAAAACAAAATGTTTAATAAACTATCCAACAGTTTTGATACCCAATAATAAAACCCAATTAATTAAATATTCAGATATTTTTAAAAATTTGAAAACTATATGACAATCAATTATCTAACAATTTATGAGACAATTGATGAACAATAGAGTCAATAGAGTCAATCGTTATCATAATAGTCATAACAGGGGAGGACTAGTATTATTAGTCAATATTATTAGACAATTATTTTTATCATTGAGTTTGTTGTAAAAATTTATTATAGTTTTTTTCCATTTATAATTTATAATTGTTTATTTTATATATATAAAAAAAAATTGTCAATTTCAATTTTATTTTGTTAAATGATTTAAATTTATAAAAAAAAAATTTTATTATTATTATTAATTTTGAATTTGTTTTTATAAATATATATTATAATACTGTAGTAAAAATATAAAATTATGTAATAAAATTTAATTCATTGTAAATATATACAGTATATATATAAAGTACAGTATATAATAATAATAATCAGAAAACTATTTATTAAATAAAAAAATTTAAATAAAAAAAAACAAAATTATTTCTTTAATTACTCATTAAATAAAACATTTTTTTAAAAAAGTAAAATAATTGTTAAGAAAAAATATATCAAAAAAATAATAATTTTTAGTCAATTATAAATTAGTTTAACAAAAAAAAAATTTTAGCTTAATTTTTAGTTTAATTGATTGTATCAGTCATTCCCAGCGCATCTCCCGTTCCCATAGGCTTTCCAAACCCATCAGTCCCGACCACTCACGCCTAACCCGTTCATCAATAACCAGGCTTTCGTCGCGTGAGAAATACCGGCGCCACTCACCGACCACACCCTTCCGGACCCGGGGGTCACCCCTGAACTTAGCCCGCATAGCCGTTATCGATGACTGGCGGGCAATACTATCGACTAGTGTTTCACAATTACCTTCGGGATCGACCATTACTTCGGATAATCGCCTGACATATTGATCGCCCAGAAATTGGGCTATTTTTTCGATAGCACGCCACGGATCGGATACCATATCCTCATAGACTAGTACTGTATAGTTTGGTTGATCCCTGAGCTGATGCCAATACTGGCGGACATAGTCATACTGATCGCCACAATACCAACATTGCTTACCACCCCCGCCACCACCACTACCAGTACCCCCGGCATAATAGCGATGATAATAATCAAAATAGTCCCGAAAATCACATCTCTGGCCAACCTCCCGATGCCAACCCATTTCCCTCATCAGACAATACTCCGAAACAATAACATCCTTAGGGTTTCGGACGGCCAACAAATACCGGGCCTTATCGTTGACCGGTAACAATCGCAGCGGCAGATGTGTCTTAAATACCGCCAAATCCGTACCCGACTGCCGGTCCACTGCCTCCCGGCCCATACTTTCCAGCGTATAGTTACCTTCGTTCAAACCGACCTCACGGTCCCCGCCGGCCATAATCAATTGGACAATATATTGTATCCATTTGCTACCCGATCGCGGATAGGATACTATAAATCTATCCGCATCCCGGTGCTCGTATTTCAGGGCATAGTCTACACACTCCCTGGGCGTACAATAATTATTGAATGTATACTGATCAATTGTATATTGATCTAGACATTTATTAGCTAGCTCCATTTAATTATTTATTTTATTATTAAAGTAAATTATTAATATTAAATAACTAATATTATTAATAATAAATAACTAATATTATTAATAATAAATAACTAATATTATTAATAATAAATAACTAATATTATTAATAATAAATAACTAATATTATTAATAATAAATAACTAATATTATTAATAATAAATAACTAATATTATTAATAATAAATAACTAATATTATTAATAATAAATTTTTTGCTAATTTACGGAAAATAATAATAATAATATTAATTGCAATTAAAAATATTATTATTTTTTTTTAAATTAACGATAATTTTATTTTTTTTATTTCAACAAAAATTTAATTTTCAATAATAATATTATACTAATTATTAGTATTATTAGTATTAGTATTAGTATTAAACTTATACTAACTTTTTTTTTGTATAAAATTATTTTTTATATATATATTATATTATTTATTAGCTATGTAAATTTTTTTGTTTAGTTATTTGTTAAAAAAAAAATATTTTAGCATGCAACGATGATTAGTTAAAATATTTTGTTGTTGTTATAAAAATGATTTACGTATTTACTGTTATTGAATTTTATTTATTATTTATATATTTTTTTTATAAAATAATTAATAATTTTTTTCAAATAAAATACTGCAAAATAAAAATATTAACATTTTTTGTGCTGATATTTTTTTTTTAATATTAATTTAATAATTGATGAAATAAAATTACTGTTTCAATGATACACTAATTATTTAATTATTATTTTATAAATTTATAAAACTTAAAATATTTTTTAAATAATATATGATAGTATATAAATATATATATATATATAATTAATGTTTTGATGTATACATATTGCATATATTGCATCATATAATAGCAAATAAAATTTTAATATCTATATAATATTCATGTCTAATAACTATTTATTTTTTTTTAAAAAATATTATAACTATAAAATATAATTGACATTAGAAAAAATATATATAAATAAATTAAGTCAATTATAAATTTTAACTAATTTATTTTGAAATATTTTTTTATTAGTTTTAACTATTTATATAGTAAATAATATTTCTAATGAAAATAAAAATTTATTACTAAAATAAAATAATATTAAAATCAACAAAAAAAATTTAATGTAATAAATAATATATAAATGATTTTATTAAAAAAATCATAATTAATGATTATATTACATTTATAGTATTTATTAGTTATAATTACTTTATTATCTTAAAAATTTAATAGTCTATTATTATAATAATTATTTTTTTTTTGAAAACATTATAATGATTTACTCATATTATAATATAATATATTAGAAAAAAAAACAAATAAAATCAAAAATAGTTTATTTTATATATTATTATAAATTTTCAAATATAATAGTATACTAAATAATTTATTAAAGATATACTTGAATATAATATTTATAAAAAAAATAATTAAATAATTAAATATTTTTATCAGTGGTTTGTTTTTAATCAAAAATAAATAAAATATAATTTTTTTTTATTTATTTATAATTATAATTATAATTTAAGTATTATACAGTATATTGTTTTTTTTGAATTATAATTATTATCGATTAACTATTTATAAATAAAATCAAAAAATTTATATAAAAATTATTTTTAATTTATATATATACATTTAAAAATATTATTAATTAATTTTTCATCTAATATTATAGTATTATGCAAATTATTTTGCATATTAAAAAATTAGTAAATATATTTTTTTTTAGTTATAAATAACTAATATTTTAATTAAGTCATAATTTAAAGGTCATATATATATATTTTTAAAAAATATTTATAGTTATAGTTTTATAGTAAAATAAAAATTAAAAGCATTAAATATAATTTGATTTTTATTATATATTTTTTTTGAATAAAATATCAACTAATTTGAAATAATATTTATTTTAATTTAGTTTATATTAATAATTTTAACATAAATAAACATGCAATGTTATTTATTTGGATATATTTTTTTTTTAAAAATCATTATTGTATTATTTGTTGTCAAATTAATTTCAAATTTGATATAATTTGAAAACTAAATACTTATAGTATTGTATAAAATATATTATATATACTATATTATACTATACTATATATTATACTATATATACTATATTACAATAATAATAATAAATTAAAGGGCGTTATCACCAAAAAACAACATTTGATATATGATATTATATGCGATAAATATATTATATAAATCATATTGTATTTAATACAGTATTTAAATAAATACAATAAAAATTATTTATTAAAAAAAATACTTTAACTCACATTAATTTACATAATTTTTTAAAAATGTTTTATTTTAAGTATTTTTATTTAAATTAATAGTGATTTTTCTTTTTGTAATAATTTTTTTAAATCTATTTATTATTATTAACTAAACTATTTGTTTGTAATGATTATATGATATAATATTTTATTTTCAATAACAATAACCAACAACAAAAAATTGTTACACTTTTATAAACACAATATACTTAATATATTTTATATAATAAAAAACATTATTATTATTGTGTGAAATAACTTTTGTGCTAAAAATATCTCAATTTTTTTAAGTGATTTTTTTTATATAAAGTTTTCTTTATATAATTTTTTTTTATAAATGAAATATTAATACAATTCACTATTGTTTATGAAATAAAATAAAAATGTATTCACTTTTTATATCTATTATATTAAATCAAAGTCAAAGATTTTTTTACAAAAAAAAAATAATAAAATAAAAATTTATATGATTTTTAACTACAAAACAGGTATATATAAATTGTATATATTTTTACGGTATATAATCAATGACTATAACTTTTAATTTAGCAAAAAAAAAATAAAACATTTCCTGTAGTAAAATACAATTTTTTTTGTATAGTTATAGTTAAAAAAAACATTATTTTTTAATATTCAATATATATTTCTGAAATATATATTATTTTTAAAATTTTAGTTTTTTGTTGTATTTTTTCTATTAAATAATATTAATAAATAATTTATGACTTATTGTATAGAAAAATATTAATTCAATTAAAAACATTTTTAGTATCTTATATTATAATATATTAAAATAAAAATCATTAATATTATTTATAATGGTTTATAATAATATTATTTTATTACAATATTGTAAATTTAATTTTTTAATTTTTTTTAATGTGTTGTAGTCTATTATAAAAAATTTTTTTAGTATATATATATATATATATAGTTTATATACAGTATATTAAAAAGTATATAATAAATAGGTATTTATTAATCTTTAAATTAAATCACTTTTGAAAAAATGAGATTTTTTTTTTGTTAGTCAATTGTCAATCAATCAGTTTTTAATATATATTATATATATATTATAATTATATTGTTATTTATTACTGTATTTTATTATTATTATTATTATTATTATTATTATTATTATTATTATTATTATTATTATTATTATTATTATTATTATTATATAACAACTAAAGTATTAGTGACAGCAGTTAACAAAAGTTTTTATATTTATAATAATATTTTTATAGACAGATATTTTTTTTTTAAAAAAAACATTGATTTTATATACAGTAATAACATATTTTTGTAATAAAATACTAGTAATAATAATAATTATAATTATATGATATACAATACTATAAAAATATTGTATATATATATATATATATATATTTACATACAATATAACATGTTTAGACATATCCGCATAAATAATATTGATATAAAACATATTCAATACAATATACAACTAAATGTTTTTATGAAACCATATATATTATTATATAATAAACAATATATACTGTATATACATATTATTGTTTCATATGTTTAAATTGTTATTGTTTGGTTTTAACAATAATATTATTTTGTGTGTGTTTTTTTAAACAAACAAAATGTTTTTTTGAAAATAAATATTATTAGTAATATGTATAAATAGTTATTTATAAAAAATATTTGTATTGATATTTAATTAGTATATAACAAAACTAAAAATAATATTAAAATAAAATTATTTAATAGCTATTTAATACAGTATACTATAAATGTATTTTATATAAAAATACATTAATATTTGAATATTAATGATAATAAATACAATTTAATAGCTTATATTTATCACTATTATAATAGGTTATAATTATACTTATTATTATTATTATTATTATTTTTGTTGCAATTATGTTAAAACATTTTTTTTGTTTTGTTGAACAGATGTCTAGCTATAGAAAAAAAATTCAATTATTGAAAAAAATAAACATAATATTAATAGTAACAAAATATTTTCAATTACTACTTTTGATAATAATATACAAACAAAAATTTGTTTAATTATGCTTCAAATGATTTTAATAAATAATTTATTTTTAATGCTATGTTATTAGACACACACACATACATATATACATATACATACATACATACATACATACACATACATACATACATACATACATACATACATACATATATATATATATATACACACACACACATATACACACACACACACACAAACACATACATACTGTACATACATACACACACACACACACATACACACAAAAACACATACATACACACACACATAAACACATATACACACATACATAGACATAATTTTTGACACTTATAATGATCATCAAATTTATGGGTTTATTATTATTAATATAATTATTATTTTTATTTATTTGGGGTTTAAATGCATTTAAACATTAAATTAACTTTCCGTCCGGACCTTTGGCCCCCTTTAAACAAAAATTTCAATGGCTTTTAGTTACTGTTTTTTTTAATTTTATTTTTTGTTTCATTATTATTATTATTTCAAAAAAAAGGAAAGTTATGCTACAGTAATAGCCCCGGTGTGTGTGTATGTGCGCCCATCCTATCCTAAATGGACCGATAGTTATAGGTAATGGCTTACTATACTCTAATATATATATAAGTCCCTATCCCTAAACATTACCCCCTCCTATATGGCTCAGTTAGCTGTCACACACACACACACACACACACACACACACACACACACACACACACACACACACACACACACACAGACTAAACATAACATCAATATCTACTTGACATTAATGGTTCAAAAAATTTATTTTATTTTTATTTTTACATATAATTTATATGTAGAGTATTTTTTTAAACTGTATTTATATATATATAACAAAAAAAGCAAACAATAAAACCCCCATTTATTTTGTAAGCCCAGGCACTGCATCATTGATTGAATGAGTGTACTGTATGTGTGTGTGTGTGTGTGTGTGTGTGTGTGTATGAGTGAGTAAGTGTGTATATGACTGAGTGTGTGTGTGTGTGTGTGTTATATATGTTATGTATGTATGTATTTGCACTTATATAACCCCGTTATGCAACTTTTTAAACACCATATATATATATAAATTTATACATACAGTATATATACTGTACATACCGTTCCCTTAACTATATATTTCAGGGTCTACTCTCTCTCTCTCTCTCTCTCTCTCTCTTTGCAGTCATCCCTACAAATAATAACCTCAAACTCTTAACCGGAATTTATTTTTATTATTATTATTATATATAATATATTATGAAATATAAAAAAAACTAAAATAAAAACTAACTTTTCTTTCCTATTATATTTAACCACTAATACTACTACAACAACAACTACTACTACTACTACTACTACTACTACTACTACTACTACTACTACTTGAATAGTGAGAGCAGATTTCCAATGGTTATCATCACACGATTGAGGAGATCCATGAGCTAACACACACAGCCAGTCCTCTCAAACAGATCATTGAGAAACTGTATGCTGTGAATGACTTGACTTGACTGGAGAGGAACTGTAGTTTTTTTTTAAGTATGACATTCACTATACAATTGTATTCAAAACGTGAATTTTCTCTCAACTATACCAATAACTCAGCGCTACATTTGAATTGAATTGAATTTTTATTATTATATTTATTATTAAGTATTGTATTTGAAGTTTGTTTTGTGTGTTGTATTTAAAATCATAGATTAAATAATAAAATAATTTATTTTTTATTTGAATATATTTTTTTTTATATATCTATACATACAATGGTCTAAACAAATACAATATATATTCAGTACTTATATAATATATATATGAAAAATAGCAAACTGTATGACACCTTATGCCACCCCACACACCATACACCATACCATACCATATCTACCGGTGCTCTTAATATGACTTTTTTTCAACAAAAATAAAACTATACAACTGTGCTATAAATGGTAATAATAATAATAATAATATTATTATTAATATTAACACCAAACTAATGGATACTAAATAATTGTAATAATAATTTATATAAAAACTTTTTATTTTTGTGTGATGTGTTTTAATTATAATAATTGTTTATATTTTTAAAAAATAAATAAATTATTATTTAAATTATTTATTTATTTAAAAATAAAATATTTATTAGATATGTGTATTTAAATGGAAATATCTAATAATAAATTTATTAATAAATTAAAATGTAAATATTGTTGTAATTTATTTGTTTATAAACTTATTGTTTGTTTACTTATAATAATAAATTTTAATAATAAAATGTGTCAATCATTTCAATATATTGAACGTAAGTATAAAATGTTTTTTAATATTTATTATATTTAATATTTAATTAATAATTTTTTTAGACACTTTAGTATAATATTTTTAAAATAATTTTTTTGTTAAATAATAATTTATAAATATTTATCAAATTTTATTTATATTTATTATGTTAGTGTGTATGCATGTTATCAAAAATTAACAGTTACTTAATTATCGATAAAATTTATTATATTGTAAATTACATAAAATATTAGTTTATTAACATATTATATATATACTGTATATATTTTTTTTTAAATACAATAGATAGTAAAAACATTATTATAATTATTATATTAACTTTAAAAATAATGTGTAAATTATGGATAACAAATATATACTAATAACATGAGATATATTATTATTATTATTATTATTAAATTGTTTGGTTTTTACCTAATAATTATATAATTAGTACATAGCATGAATAAACACACAAACATATACATACACACATACATACGTACACACACACATACACACACACACACACACACACACACACATACATACATACAATATAAAAGTATAAATTTATATAATTAATACAATAAATATACAATATATATATATAGATATAGATATACATTATATACAGGTAGTATTGCATGTGTGTATACAGTATTTTATCATTATGTTTGTATTGTACATAATATACAATACCGTATATATCTATCTATATATATATATATACAGTATTTTATTTATTATTGTACAATACTTTTATTATTTTATAATAATAATAATAATAATAATGTAATTGTTATTTAGCGCACACATGTTGTATCGTATAAATTATATTTGTTTTTCAAACAACTAAAAAAATTAATTAATAGATTAGAGAGAGAGAGAGAGAGAGAGAGAGARAGAGAGAGAGAGAAAGAGAGAGAGAGAGAGAGAGTATTGTATAATATTTAGTACAATATTTAATATACAATACATTTTAATTAGTGTAACATTTTTTGTTTGTTTCATTATTTATACATTTTTTAATAATTTTTTTATTTATATAATATATATATATTTATTTATTTATCTATTATATTGTACTATCTATTTATAGATAGATAAAACACTACTCATAATACATACAATTATTGTTTTTTTAGAGACTATTATTGTTATTATTTATATATTAATATATATTTTTAGTTAAGTTATTAATAATAATAGTTTAGTTTTTTTTTAAATGTTAAATAAAATATAAATAAAAAATTTTCTATTAGTATTAAATAAAGTTTACAAACAAAACAAACAAAAAATATATACATTTAATAATATTTAAAATAAAAATTATTAAACATAACATTGAACTCTAACTTTTATTTATCAAAAAAAATTATTTTTTTAAAAGGCTATTAATTATTAATTATTAATAAAATATTTTTTAATAATACAAAAAATATATATAAATAATATCATTAATTAATAATTTCAAAACATATTTTATATTTTTATATAAAAAAAACATTTATTATTTCATTTTTTGCAGTAAATAATCTGTCAAACAAATAAAGTTAACTTAAATATTTTAAACTAAAAAAACAAAACAAAACAATATATAAATAATAATTTTTTAAATAATTTATTAAACAACCAAAAAATACAATAAATAAATAAATTATTGTATATTAAAAAAATAATTAATTAAATAATAACTATAAATAAAAAAAATTATTGTATATTAAAACATAATTAAATAAATAATAACTATATATAAAAAATATTATTAAACTTACTATTAAACAAAAACATAATTATTAATTTTTATTTATATATATTTTTTTTTGTTGAAAATTGTATTTTTTTTTGTTCAAATTATATTTAATTTTTTGTTTGTTTGTTTTGTTGGGCACCGGTATCTAACAAAAAAAATAATAGACAATCTATACGATTATTGTACGGAACAGTATTGGCGTGATTTTCCCGGCCATCGGACAATACCAGTGGACAAATCCATACAAATCCGTAGTCCGTATATATTTAGTTTCAATAATGCCGTCCAAAATCAGACCAACCGTTTTGTACACTATTGTCGTATACGGCTTATCGTTGGCGACGGTAAACGTATCTACGCTGTCGGCACATCCAGCGGTTAGTTATGTGTTTTTTTTTTAAATTATTATTATTATTATTATTATATGGCTTTAGAGAGGACAGGGATTAACACAAACAAAACTACTGTTCCCTATCCCTCCTACCCGTCCTTAAGCTCTCTATCTCTAAATAAATATACAATTTTTTTTTGGTTTTGTTTTGTTTAAAAATAAATAGCATACCTGAGCTACCTATTTATCTAGATTATAATATATATATATATATATAATCTACCTGTATATATGTATAATCTATATATATATATATATACATATAATCTAAACATATATATATATATATATATATATGTATTAAGTATTAACTAAAAACTAATAAATAAAATAATATTTAATTATTTGCTATTAATATTATTTTTAGTTTTATACATATATGAAAATAAATTATCTAACTTTTAATATATATATATATATATATATATATATATATATATAAATTATGCTAGCTAAATTTTTTCTATTTAAAAAAATAAATTTTGAAAAAATATTTATTCTAAAGATTAATTTGCAAACAATTTTTTGAATTTATTTATTTTTTGTTGATTTATGAAAACAATTTTCAACACACCTAGATTATTTTGTAAAAATATATTATTTTTGTTTGTTTTTTATAAAACAAAAAATTAAAGTTTCACAATAATGATACTTAACTAATAAAAAAAATATAAAGTATATAATTATTGTTGATTTTTTTGTTGTTTTGTGAAAATTAATACATATTTAATATCAATCAAAACATAATTTATATAAATATTTGTTTTATAGTTAAATAAAAAATATGCTATTTTTAAAAAAAAAATAATAATTAATTATCATTTATTTACATATTTTTTTGGACATTTCATTTTGAATTAGATAATTTATTAAAAAATATTCAAGTTTATGTACAATTATTATTATTATTAATAATTATTATTTTTATATTTAATTTGAGCTAGTATGATTAATTAATTTATAATACTAATTAATTGAAACTAATTAATATACAGTATTTTTGTTGTTATTTTTGTATACTATTGTTTAGTTACATATAAAAAAATAAATTATAATAATTATTTTAGTTTAATAATAACTATTTATTTTTAGTTTTTTTCAAAATAGTTTTTTTTATATATACTGTTTTTTATTATTGTTTTTTTTTTGTTTAGCATTTAAGATCAGGTGCTAATTTATCACACATTATAAATGATTGTATATATATTGTGTATATATATATATATAGTTAACCCATAATTTTGTATAATATGTGGGTTGAATACAAAAAACAATATATATTTAATTTTAATCAAACAATTTTATGGATAAAAACTAAATAATACTAAAAGTGTAAAAAAACTAAGTAGTAATACATTGCATACTAAATAAACAAATTATTTTGTTTAATAAAATATATATACTGTATATAAATATAGATATTTTAAATAAATAATAATAATTATTATTATTATTTAGTAAATCCCTTAAACAAACATCATATTCATAATACTTATTAAACAACAAAATAAACTTTTAAAAAATAAATATATAAATCCTCTTAAAAAAAACTTAAACTCTTCAATCAATATAATATTATAAATATATATAACAAACAAATAATAACAATTTAAAAAATAATTTAAATATAAATTGAAAAATTAATATATATTTATTTATTTTTTCAAAATCAAATCTATTTTATTTGTTTTTAGAAATATTTATTATATACTTATAAATTAAATTTTATTTATATATAAATTAATTTTATTTTCTATTATTATTATTATTGATTATTATTGATTGATTGATAATTTTACAGGTATTTCAACAAATGGTAACAAAAAATGGATAACAGAGTCCATACATATGTCGCCAACTAAACCAAAATTGTTAACAAAATTGCGGATCAAAGAGGACTTTGAGTCGACAACGGATAACAATGCACTGGAACTGGTATTTGAAGGACTGGATCGCCAGGAGTTCCGTTTTCAACTGGTGGTCACACCGTTTCGCCAATTAGGTAGGGATTGTTTATGTGATTACCCCCATCCCACCCACCCCTACCTACATAGATATATATATATATACTAATAAATTTAGCATTTTCAAAAAAATATATATATGTTAAAATAATAATAATTTTTTAGTTGTAATTAAAATTATTAAATTATAAAATAAATAATTTTAGTTATAATTACAATTTCATCAATTTATGTATTTGTTTGTCTAATTAAAAAATTTTTGATTACTATTTTCTATATAATAATAAATAATATTTTTTTATATACACTACTATTGATAGTATATACTATATATATATACTGGATATATTGATATATATATTAATATATTTAGTTTTTTTTTTATTTTAAAATATATATTAATTTTAGTCGTAATTAAAATAGTTATTAATTATAAAATAACTTAATTATTTTAAATAAATAGTAAATTAATTATAATTACAATTTGTTTGTGTCTCTAATTGTAATCATTAATAATTAATTAATCAAAAAATTGATTGTTTACTATTTTGATACAATAATATTTTTTATATATACTACTAATAGTATATACTATTTATATATATGTGTGTGTATATATATATATCTAAATTTAGTATTTTTTAAAAATCTATATAATAATTATATATTTTTTTTTGTAATTAAAATTATTAATTATAAAATAAATAAATATATATATTTTTAATAACATATAATTATAATATATAATAATAATTATGTAATATTATATATATTATATATAATTATATAATAATAATATAATTATAATTACAATTTTATCTATTTATTTGTCTGCCTATTAGTAATTATTACTAAATTTTTTAATTTTAATTTTCTTCCTCTAACTAAACCATATAATTAATTGTTATTATTATTATTTTTATAATAAATTGTTATTATCTACAAAAAAATTTTACTATTTTGATACAATAATATTTTTTTATATAATCTACTAGTATATACTATATATATATATGAGTAAATTATTTATATAAATTGTTGAGAAATGTTTTTTTTTAAATAAATTTATATCATAGTTAGTTAGTTTGAAAAATACAAAAATTTTATATTTTATTACACAATTATTCATCAAAACTAAAAAATTTTAGTTTTATTTTAATAGATATTATAGTAGATATGATTACAATCTATAACTACTGTATAATGAAATTTTTTATTTACAATCTGATAATAAATAAATAAATAGTTTTAAAATATATTTTATTTTAGTGATAGAAATTTATTATCACCATGATAAATTATTATGTTATATTGAAAACTATTTTTTTGTTGTTGTTGAAGATATTTAGTATATTTTAACTTAAGAAAAAATTAATTAAGTTTTATATATATATACTGTAATATATTTTTAAATGTTTCTAAAAGTTTATAATTTATAATTAAATTCAAAATTTTTAATTTATACGATATATTACTTTATTTTTTTAGTAAAAAATTAATTATTATTAAAATATCTTATCAGTGATGTAATCAGTTTTAAAAAAAAAGTTATTTTTAGTTTTTAATTTTTTTTTGTGTTAATAGCCATCAATCAAATATTTTTAACTCAGAGTTTTAAAAAAATATTATATTTAATTGAAAGTATTGATTAAACTTTTAAAATTTAGTTAATTTTTTTGATTAAATATTATATTTATTATAACTTATCATTTAATTATTTATTTTATTTTTAAATTTTCAAAAAAAACTTTGAAAAAGTTTTGTTTTCTGAAATCTATACGAGCCTTTGTGTGTGTGTGTGTGTGTGTGTGTGTGTGTGCGTAGCATTTTATTTTCGAACTTTGAAATTCTGACTTCAGATTCGGTTAGAGGACTACTAATAATGTATTGAAAAGTTGCATCAAAAATGATCTATCTCTTCGGGAACATAGACAAAATGGCGGCCAAAGTACAAAAAATTTTAAGAAAATTTTTTTAAAGTATAGATTTGAATAAAGCATCAAAAACAAGCATAAGAAACATGCATTAAAATTTTGATATCACTTCGGGAACATAGAGAAAATGGTGGCCAAAGTAAAAAAAATTTAGGTAAAAATTTTAACGTTTAGAATTGTATAGAGCATCTAAAATAAGATATAATAAATCAAAATTATTTTATTTTTTCAAAAAATGGCGGCAAAAGTATGATTTAAGCTGTTTATTTTGTCATTTAATACCCTACATGACTAAAGTTGAGTTTATTTTGTCATACTAAGTTATTTGACTATATGACTAAATCAATTGACAATTAATTTGCGAACATAATATTTTATGCCGTCAAAGTTTTTTTTTCTAATAATGCTTTCTAGCATTCTTAACTGGTTTTTATTAAATTTTAATGTCTATCAATGTGTGAGGTCTATTAATTAAAAAAATATTTAAAAAAACAATTGTAATAATAATAGTAATTAGTTTTTTTCAAAAAAAAATATAATACTTATTATTAAACTTTTAAACTTTGATATAATCTTTTAAAAAATATATAATATTTATCTAAAAGTATTATATTTAATACAAACAATAATAATAATATTATTTGTTTTGTTTCAACAAAACAAAACAAATAATCAAAATATAGTTTTTTTAATTTTAAATAACTAACAAAATGTATTTTCAATTGCTTTTTAATACAATTGCACTTAAATTATTATTTCAAAAAAACAATTTAGTTGTTATTTTAAACACAAAATTACATATATATATATATATATATATATATAATATATACTGTAATAACAAAATTACATTTTAATACTTTATACTATATATATATACATTATAATAATAAAACTTAATAACAATAATCTATCAAATATTATATTATAAGTAAATCAAAATCAAAAAACAAAATTTTTATATATACTGTATATACAGTTATATGATTTAAATTGTAAAATATTTTTATACATTATTATTATTATTACATAATACTGTATCTTATATACCGTATATATAAATCACATACTAGTTATACATACTTTATATATATATATATAGTATATAAATGATTATCTCATATCAAAATATGCCATACATTACATTTAAAAATGTTTTTTTTTTAATAATATATATATATATATATTAATCGTTATGTAATATGACTTTTCCCATATATATATAATATAATAACAGTGAGAGAGAGATAGCGAGCACCGGTAGTTTTTTTTGTTAATATAATGTATAGATTATAGTCATATATATATAAAAAAATAAAATGATAAAATAAAAACCGGTAAAGCCATTAAATTTTGCAAACACACACATACATGTATTTAATATATATATATATATATATATATAATAACTACCTGTGCCCGTAACTAATAAATGTGTAGTTTTTATTAAACTATATAATAATATTAAATGTTTTTTTTTTGTTTATATATATATACTATAACTTATTTTTATGATATACAGTCTATTAAATTATATAGATATCGTTAAATATCAATATATATATATATTTAATATATGGTTTATGATTTATAGCATATATATTAATATATAAAGTTTCAGTTAATTAATTTATAGATTAGTATATACTGTATATATTCAATATATAAAATATTATTTTTTTTAAAAAAATATTATCAAATAATTTATTAAATTTTTTTATGTGTGTGTTAAATAATTTCATTAATAAATTGAATTTATATTTTTTTTAAATAAGTTATTAATACATTTAATATAGATTTTATCAATATACATTAAAAATAATTATATTATTAATATTATTTTTTATTTTAAAATTACAATTCAATATAGTTTTACATTTTTAACATTTTACAATTTAACATTAGTTAATATTTTTTATTTATTTATTTTGTTTTTAAAAAAACTTGTTTATAGCTAACTATTAAATATTAAGATATAAATCTATAGTTTATTTATTTTTTTAATAGTATTTTAAATGTATATCATTTGATGCCATTAATTATTATACTAAAGTTTCACATGTTTAAACAATTACATTAAATAAAAAAACATTTTAAAAATTATTTACATTTTAATAATAGTTTATTTTTATTTTTAAATGTATGATAAAGTGATAATGTGTTTCCTAAAGATATACAAAAATATTATTATTGTTTTTTTATTGTTATTATTATTATTTATTAAATGATATAACTATTAAAAATTATGTTTATATTTGTTTGTTTTTTTTATTTAAAAATATTTGAATATTAAATAATACATGTCTAGACATACTCAACAACAACAACAACAAAAAAAGGATAACTAAATATAATTAATAATTTAAAAACTAATTTTTATGTTTTTGCATAAATTAAATAATTTTTTTAAATAATAATAAATTTTTAGTAAAACTATTTTAGTGTCTTATTATATTAATTTTTAAATGATATTAATTATATATAAAAAATTAAAAAAAAATTAAATTACTAATTAATATTATAATTAATTACAAAATAAAACACATTTTTATACAGTTATTAAATCACCTTTTTTTAAGGATAATTATTAAATATTTTATAGTTAATTATTATTTAATAAGAAACTAAAATATAAAATAGATTTTTATTATATATTTATTATTTAAAAATAAAATTATTATTATTATTATGTGTTAAACATTTTTTCTGCTAATTATAAGGTATTTTAACAGTTTATATATAAACAGTTTATATATGATGTGTTGTTAATTATAATTTCAAAAAATAAATAAATGACTTTTAATGTATATTTTTGTTTGTTTATTAAACAAAAAAAAATTATTAATAATTTTAGTTAACATTTAGGTTTTTTTTAAGTGTTTTGAGGGAACGGTAGCTATAAAAATGTATATTTACAAAGTTATCAGATTTTTAGCTAAAATCATAATTTTTTTTTAGTTTATAACTTTCCCAACAAAGAAGTGATAACATAATAAAAATAAAATAAATTAAATAACTATTTAAAAAAAAATTAAAAACATTTTTTTAATCAGTTATTATATGATAAACATCTCTAACTCTAAACTTTTTTTCGCTCTCTCTCTCTCTCTCTCTCTCTATGTTTCTCTCTCTCTCTCTCTCTATGTCTCTCTCTCTATGTTTTTTTTTCTCTCTCTCTCTCTCTCTCTMTGTCTCTCTCTCTCTATGTTTCTCTCTATCTCTCTCTCTCTCTCTCTCTCTCTATGTTTCTCTCTCTATGTTTTTTTCTCTCTCTCTCTATGTCTCTCTCTCTCTATGTTTTTTTTTCTCTCTCTCTATGTCTCTCTCTCTATGTTTCTCTCTCTATGTTTTTTTCTCTCTCTCTCTCTCTCTCTCTCTCTCTCTCTCTCTCTCTCTCTCTCTCTCTCTCTCTCTCTCTATGTTTCTCTCTATCTATCTATCTATCTATATATATATATCTATCTATCTATCCCTGTTTATAAGCTACCGGTGCATTTAAACTACCTGTTTTATATACAGTATATATAATATATAATCTACTAAACTTTTTTTATTTATATATATTTAATTTTTTTTCGTTGATTAATTGGTAGGCAATGAAACAAAATGCGAACGACATGTAGAGTACAAGTGCCGAAACAACCGGTGCGTCGACGCCTATCTGGTCTGCGACTATCGTAACAATTGCGGCGACGATAGCGACGAATGGCATCACTGTTTGGCCAAATTGCCGACCACTGGACGACCGCCAACACGTCTACCAACACCAGTGCTAACACCGCCGCCAGTCTATTGGTGGCCAACATTATCATCGACAACACCATCACCACAGCTGACTAATACAACTACCGGTGCTATCGATGATAGCCTGAATAATACCCTAAACTACTATCTGTTTCACTCGAAACTGGATCTGCGGACAGTTGTCTACTATATATTGTTAGTCCTATTGATTATAATTGTCGTAACAATTATTAATTTTATTGTCTGGTGTATTGTTACCAAACGTGACCAGTCGTTCATCGATATGGGAGGTACTACTGGTGGTGAAGGTGCTGGTAGTGGTGGTGAAGGTGCTCATCAACAACAACAACAACAACATAGCAATAGTTAATTAATTAATTATAATTAATTAGTAATTAAAATAATAATATATTGATATAATAATACAAAATAAAATAAAGATATATATTATATATGATTTAAATGTGTATTAATATATATATATATAAATATATTTAATATTTATTTTGTTTTTTTAAATAATTAGTTTTTAATTATTTTTTTTTATATATAAATTATTAATAATTATATATTTTAAATAATATAATAAATTTTTTAATTATAAATAAACTCTCATATTGTGTTTAGATTCAATAAATCTAATTAATATTAAATTAAATATAATATATTATAATTATTATATATATTTAAATAAAGTAAAATTATTATTTATTTATTTTTAATTATGATATATTAAAAAAAAAATTTATTTTCTAATAAAAAAAATTCCAAATAAAATTACAAAATATTAAACAAATTAATTATAACATTGTTTTTTTAATTATTATTAATTATTATTAAATATAATTAAATAGATATATTTATATATATATTATTACAAATTAGTAATTTACAGTTTGATTAGATTTTCCACTGAAAAAAAAAATATTAATAATAATTATAATTATTAATTGTTTTATAAAATAGAAATTATAATATTTTTTTAAAAAAAAACAATTCAAATAAAATACAAACAAAATATTTTTTAAATGTATAAAATTCACACAATATTTCTATTAATAATTATATAATAAAAATTGTAAATCAAACAAATATTATTATTATTATAAATAGCTATTAATACAAAATATTTATTTATAATAAAAAATGTATTTATTATAATCACATATTAAATTATAATTATATTTTTTATTAATAAATTTTATTCAAATATATATAATTATTATTAGTCTTGTTATTATAATTCAATTTTATATTAATTTAATTTATAAATATATTATTAATTAAAACACTATATTTTAATTAATTAATTAATTAATTAATATAATAACTTGTATTGAAATTTAAATTCAAGGGCAAAAAAAACTTCATTATTAATAATTAGTTATTATTATTATTATTATTAACCTAGATCAAATTAATAAATTGATATTTTTATCAAATAAAACACAAACACAAATGTATAAAAAAAACATATCAAAAATAATAATAATAATAAATTAATAAAATATATAGATATATATATAATTACTAATATAAAAAATAATATTAAAACAAAAAAAATATTAATTAAAAAACTAACACATATTTCAATCGCTATACTAATTATTTGGATAATAATAATAATAATAATTTGTAGCAATTATTTCGTTTATATTTATATATATATATATATATATTAATATTACATAATATATGTATCACTTTTTTTTATCAATTAATATATATATATTAATTCAATTAAATTCATTAATTAGTTACTACCTTATTATAATAATAATAATAATTACGTTAATTTTTTTAGTAATAATAATAATAATAATTTTTAATAAAAAATCTCTATAAAAAACTATAAAAAAATTAATCAATTAATTAATTAATTAAAAATAATTCAATTAAAAATTTATATTTAAAAAATCAAATACTCTTATATGTGATGATTACACACACAGACAATAAAACAAACAAATATTTTAATAATAAAAAAATTATGAGATTATGAAATGTATGATCTCTTTATAAAAAAATAACTACCGGTGCTCTACATATATATATATATATATATATATATATATATATATATATATATATATATATATATATGTTAATTACACTATAATAATAATAATAATTAATATTATTATCACTTAAAACACACACACACACACATAGATAGCTAATTGAGATGCCATTCAATATGTAATTAGTATTATAGAGGGGGAGGGAGGGGTTTTTAGCGATATCTACCACCCCAAACACTCCCCCTCACTAAAAAGCTAACTGTCCCCCCTCTCAAAATGTTTCGGCATCGGGACAGTGTTCAGTATTGTGTCCAAATCGTTCACACTGTAGACAATAGGGCCGATGTTCGGTACGTTGGGCCCGATAGTAGGTATGGCCGCTAGTTGTCTCCCGTAATGATGCCGATGATGTCGTTCCCGTAGTTGTTGTGGTGGCCGTCCCAGCCGTAGTAGTGGCCAACGACATGGCCGTAGATAACATCGACTGTTGTGGACAGTCTTCGGTTTCGTGGGCGTCAAATATTTCGCAAATGTCGCAAAACATACGCGGGGCCCGAATGTGGCCATTAGTATAACCATTATGATGATGATTATTATGATGATTATGATGGCCACCACCGCTAACACGGGAGTTAAAACTTGATTCAAAATCATCCAAACCTATCGGGGGGGGGGGGGGGGGGAGACATCAACAAAAAAATTTAAATATTAATTATTATTTAATTAATTATGTATAATATCTACTAATAGTCTAACAGATTTATTAATTAATTTTTGTTTTGTTAAGTTAATTATTTATTTATTTTATAATTATTTAATTAATTATTATTTTTGTTTTAATTAGATAATTAAATACCTGGCCCCTCCCATCCCTCCACTACCCCCTCCCCAACAATACCTAAAAAACAATATACAAGTATTGTTTTTGTTTATATGGTGGACGAGGGGAGGGGTGGGTAATATTATTTTTATTTTAATTAAATACCACGGCTCTTCCCAATCCCTCCACCTCACCCCCAAACTATAAGTATCGTTATTGTTTATATGGTGGACGAGGGGGAGGGAGGGAGGGGTGGGTGGGTGGTATTAATAATAATAGTAATCATTATACTGGGTATATATAGTAATTATATGACTTATAAAACATAACTACTGGTAACTATTACTGGTATATTAGTATAGGGCACCTACCTATTTCTTCGAGCACCTGTACCCGATGTTTGAGTTCATCGTTTTTTTTCTGCATATCAACTATAACTGAATTCAAAAACTCAATCTGCTGTTCATACGAGTCGACACCTTGGGCTTCGACATCCCGGCGCTGATTGTTAGCCTGAATCGATTCCCTGACCTTAATCTCCAGATCATTCAGCGTAGCCTCCAATTGGCGCTTCTCTAGCTGGGCCTGTCGTTGAAATGTTTCAATAGCCAGCGACTGATGGGTCTCCAGTTCCCTTAACTGCCGGTCCCTTTCGTCGGCTAATCGCTGACTGGTATCCGATTTTTGTTGTAGTCGTTCGCATTCGTATTCAAATTCGGCCAAAACCTCCCGGTGCCGCTTATCCAGTGCTGTTTTGGTTGGTTGGTTGGTTGGTTGGTTGGTTGGGTGGGTGTGTATGTGTGTAGTCAATATGTATATCAATCCATCAATCAATCCATCCATCAAATGCATCGGTAGGTTAGGTCATGTGGCCAATGATATGTATAGTAGTAGTAATGGTAGTAATCATCATAAGTAAGTGTATGTGTGTGTCGGTAGATATGATTTTTATAAGGGTATGGGTTTGATATATCAATTGATGGGAGGAAGACATGTCCGCAAAATAATATATATATTTGAAAAAAAAAATTAAATAATAAAAAATATAATTAGAAAAAATAAATAAAATAATAGTGCAAAATAATAATCATAATTACTTAATTAAATAAAATTATATTTGAACGTAAATTTTCCAAAAATTATTATTATTATTATTATTATATATAACTATTATTATTATAATTATTATAATTAATTAACTATTTAATTATGTTCCCTTATTGTCTATCATTATCACTAAACACTTAATTAATTATATTTTTAAATTTTTAAATAGATATTAACAATCAAAAAATTAATTCATTGATAAAAATAAAATGTATGCAAAAAAATAGCAAATAAATATAAAATAACAAAAATATAATTAATTAGAAAATAAATGATATGATATATGATAGTATAGATAGTAGAAAATGATATATAATTATAGCAATTATAAGGTAAAGCCCGGGTATTAGCAATGGATTAGTAGTAGTATCAGTGGTGGAAGTATTAGTAGTAGTAGTAGTAATAGTATCTAAGTGTTGTGCACCCGATGCTACCGTCATCAATGATAGGGAAGCACCGGTAGCTACAGTAGTAGTAGTATTAGTAGTATTGTCGGTGATATTAGTAGATAACTCGGAACAGTGATATGTAGGGAACGGTAGCTTATTATTATTATTAGCACTTTTATTATTATGATAATGACATGGCTTTTCTGCATAAAAAATAAGTACACCATATGACTGATGTTTGTATGAGTTTTTTTTTGGATGATTTCAATGAGAGATATGATTTTTTTTGATGACATACGGTATGGGTCGGGAAAATCAAAAAGAGAGAGAGAAACATACGGTATATATGATAGTCAAACACCATAACAAAGCCATACAATAGTTAATAATTAATTAATTTAAATAAATTAATAGTTTTAATAGCAATTAAGTGACGATTTTTTTTATAAATTTTTGTTTATACAACTACAGTATATATATAGAAAAACACAAAAATTAATTAATTAATTAAAATTAAATTAAATAAAAATTGCAAAATAAAAATTGCAAAATAAAAAAAAAAATTCAAAACAAAAAATCCAAAAAAAAACTTTTAAACACAACAACAAAAATATCAATAAATAAATAAAAAGCAAAATTAAAATAATTTTGTTTTTCAAAATAACTGATTGTTTTATACGTGAGGGGAAAGTCATGCCTTTAATCTCCTAATATATAAGTAGTAGATAAAGGTGCTGATTGACCTTGAACTTGACCTCTAAGCCACGCCCCCAAGGTCGTCAAGGTCATTCAAGTCATATGAGAATGACGTCACTTTGATAAGGTACTCACATAAATAATGTGACATTGGAATTAATGATGACGACATCCTAATGACCATCACGGTCATCACTTTCTAATTTTAAATTTAATATAGTACTAATAATACTTCTATTGCATAATTGATTAATAATTACAACTACTTCTACTACTACTACTACTAAATAGCTTATTTCATTAATAATAAAACTACTACTACATTTCTTTTATTTCATTAATAATTACTACTACTATTACTATTACTATATATACCATATTTCATTAGCAACAAATACTATTATAAAAACTACTAAACTTTTAATTACTTTTACTTATAATACATTGCTTACAATAAAGTAATAAAGTTATAAATTTTTGATACATTTTATATATTTACTTAAAATTATTATAAATTCTACTATTGTGTGTATATTTTATTAATAATAATTTAGATTCGTACTAAATTGCTTATAATTCATTTTTTATATATAAAAGAATTACTATTAATAATACCAAATGTATTTTACTAAAACTTATTTTAGACTAATATTTATTAATTTTATTATAATAATGTTTATATTTTATTAAAGATAACTTACAATTCTTATTCTTATTATATTATAATTATAATCATTTAATACTAATATTTTACATTTATTTAATAAATATTAATTATTCCATTGCAATACTTATATTTTAATAAATTTTTATTAAATATTACTACTACAGTCTCTATATTTTTCAATATACTACTAAAAATATTAAGATAATGTTTACATTTCAATAATAATTACTAATATAGTCTCTATTTAATTAAAGTTACTAATACATTTTTAAGTTATCTTATATTTTATTTATATTAATCTTTTAAATACTAATAAATTTTCTATATTTATTTTAAAAAATCAATAATATTAAGATAATCCTTATATTTTAATAAAAATTATTAGTACATTGTTAATTTATTAAATATTTCTAATATTTGACTTATATTAACTAATTACTGATATGCAATTACTGTTATGTTAATTATTATTATACTTTAAGAACTACTAATGATAATAGAATGATTATATTTTATTAATTATTAATTAATTAATACTATTACTTCAACTACATAGTTTAAATCTAACTAATAATTACTATAAATAATTATAAAATAAGTATATTTTTAAATATTTATTATTAATGCTATTATATTGATTATATTTTTATTAAAAATTACTTATACTTAATTAATTTTACTATTAAATTACTTGACTTATACAGTACTAATAGTAAATTACTTTATTTTTTAGATTATTAAACACAATTACTACATCTAAATAACATATATTTTACTTAAAATTATTATAAATAGTAATAACTTCATTATAAATAATCTACTTTTTAAATAATAATAAATAAATAGTTTATATTTGTTTACAAAAATGTAAACAAACCATAAAAATAGTTTGTTATTGTATCCAAAAATGTAAACAAACCATAAAAATAGTTTCTTATTGTATCCAAAAATGTAAACAAACCATAAAAATAGTTTGTTATTGTATTCAAAAATGTAAACAAACCATAAAAATAGTTTGTTATTGTATCCAAAAATGTAAACAAACCTTAAAAATAGTTTGTTATTGTATCCAAAAATGTAAAAAAACCTTAAAAATAGTTTGTTATTGTATTCAAAAATGTAAACAAACCATAAATATAGTTTGTTATTGTATTCAAAAACGTAAACAAACCTTAAAAATAGTTTGTTATTGTATTCAAAAATGTAAACAATCCATAAAAATAGTTTGCTTTTGTATTAAAAAATGTAAACAAACCATAAAAATAGTTTGTTATTGTATTAAAAAACGTAAACAAACTACCCTACTTTATAACTACTCGTAAACAAACTACCCTACTGTATAACTACTTGTAAACAAAACATATAAATAGTTTGTTATTGTATTCAAAAATGTAAACAAACCATAAAAATAGTTTGTTATTGTATTCAAAAATGTAAACAAACCTTAAAAATAGTTTGTTATTGTATTCAAAAATGTAAACAAACTACCCTACTTTATAACTACTCGTAAACAAACTACCCTACTGTATAACTACTTGTAAACAAAACATATAAATAGTTTATATTTGTTTACAAAAATGTAAACAAACCATAAAAATAGTTTGCTTTTGTATTAAAAAATGTAAACAAACCATAAAAATAGTTTGTTATTGTATTCAAAATCGTAAACAAACTACCCTACTTTATAACTACTCGTAAACAAACTACCCTACTGTATAACTACTTGTAAACAAAACATATAAATAGTTTGTTATTGTATTCAAAAATGTAAACAAACCATAAAAATAGTTTGTTATTGTATTCAAAAATGTAAACAAACCTTAAAAATAGTTTGTTATTGTATTCAAAAATGTAAACAAACCTTAAAAATAGTTTGTTATTGTATTCAAAAATGTAAACAAACCTTAAAAATAGTTTGTTATTGTATTCAAAAATGTAAACAAACCTTAAAAATAGTTGTTATTGTATCCAAAAATGTAAACAAACCATAAAAATAGTTTATTATTGTATCCAAAAATGTAAACAAACCATAAATATAGTTTGTTATTGTATCCAAAAATGTAAACAAACCATAAAAATAGTTTATTATTGTATTCAAAAATGTAAACAAACCATAAATATAGTTTGTTATTGTATCCAAAAATGTAAACAAACCATAAAAATAGTTTATTATTGTATCCAAAAATGTAAACAAACCATAAATATAGTTTATTATTGTATCCAAAAATGTAAACAAACCCTAAAAATAGTTTGTTATTGTATCCAAAAATGTAAACAAACCTTAAAAATAGTTTGTTATTGTATCCAAAAATGTAAACAAACCATAAAAATAGTTTGTTATTGTATTCAAAAATGTAAATAAAAACGTTAATTAACTATAAAAAAATTCATTGGTTATAAAAATGTATAAAGTATTTTATAATATAAATAAAGAAATTTTAATTAATTTGATAATTTTATTTATAAACAATAGCCATAAGGAATAGTTTGGTATACATCATGTGATTGTACTATTATACGTTTATCGGATACTGCTTGATATTTTTTATTAAATACTGCTGTGTTAATGTTATGAAATTTATCGCATCTAAATTGTTGTTGTGGTACTTGACGACTATCATAAATACCTCTACTGTATTTATCAGCAATATCTACTACTGTATAATAATTAACAATATGTTTAGCTTTTTCTGTTATTGCTAAACCTTTAACTTTCAATTTGTTTATTTCATTACCATTTGGTAACACGACTTTGTAACCATAGTTTTTTGGACCGCACGATACAAACTCCTTGATGTACGCTTCACTTCCAAAGTCTTTTTCTATTTCATCTGTAAGTTGACCCAAAAAATTACCAACTGTTGGTACACTCCAGTTTTGTGACGCGTTG